GTGACAAAAATAACGATCAAGAAAATTGGAATATCAGTGAGCTTCAATATGATGACGAAGATTCTGTGCAACTTTCACCATCTGTTGTTCAAACTGAGGCTAAAGAGATGAGCAGCCAAAGTGAAAATAAAAGTGTTTCTAGCCCAGTGCCTATCTTGCCCAAAACCGATTCTAGTGGAAAAAGCAACTTTATTCTTAAGGATTATAAGGAGAAAGTAATGGCTGATGAAGAACAAAACTCGCTTACAGAGATAGATTTAGGTGACACGTCAGCTGGCTCGTTGTCCCCTCCTGTTGTGCCTGCTCGAGATGAAGGTGATTCAAGGACTAAGCGTCATTTTCCAAGGAATAACGACAGGACTAAAAGCGATAAAATGAAGTCGAAGGATGATTATCCAAATGCCTCATCAGCAAAGAGCCCATACTTAAAGTCTGGGAGAAGCCAGCTGCATGACTGCTCAAATGACAGAGTTTTTCAGGATTCTGGCAAATCAGTTGACACAGATATGCAGATGGATATTGAATGTGTAGGTGTAGACATGTCACCACCTGCTGGCGTTGCATACACAAGAAATCCAGCAGCCAAAGTCCCAGGAGAAATCGCAAAAAGGACCGTAGCAGATGATATCAAGAAGGAGCTTTCGCAGAAAAAGATTAGAGCTGTTTGCGGAAACAAAATCAACGAGCAAGATAAAACCAATGTTGCTAGGTCACCCCAAAAGAAATCAGATTCTAGTGCATCGGGTTTATCAGATCTAGGGGAAGTTTCGCCAGATGTTGTTTCCGTTAAAAGATCCAATCATACCAGGTATGAATGCAAAGTTACAGAGTCAACTCCTAAACCATGTAGAACCAAAAAAGAGGTAAAAAGCTTTAATCGAACAAAATCACACGCTTCTGTTGAGTCCAAAATTTTAATCCCCGTGATGTCAAAGAATCTAATGACCCATTCTGTGTCAATTTCTCCACCTATGACATGCAGTAAAGCAGAAACACTAGAAGGAAAGGGCGAATCAATTCAAGGAGGCGGTGTAAATAAAAATTCTATGAAGAAGTGTGAAATATCTATAGTTAATGAAATCATATCAGAAATTGTAAATAGTGCTATTTATGAACATCGCCCAAGAACTCAAAAGCATTACATTGTAAGGAAAGCAGACGATGCACTTTCACCTGCAAGCTGTGTTCCAAGAACTCCTGCAAAGAACATGTCTAAGGCAGCTAGAAGGTTAAAGAGTCGGATAAGGGTTAGTGGTGTGAAGATGAAGAAAAACTGTTTTCAGGAAAACATATCTGAAAAACCTACGAATCAAGGCTGTCTTTTTGGTGAAGAAGTTTCAGGGAAGCAAGATTCGGAAAAGTTAAAGTATAGAAAATTGAATAGAGATGATCAAATAAAGGATGACTATAGGAATAACAACAATGAAGTTAGTGACGTCGTGAATCTTCTGCCTAGCAAGTTGGATGAAAGAAGAAAGGATTTTGTTCATTCAGAGAAGGAAAGCGTGAATTTGAATCTTGAGTGCTGCGAGAAGTCAAGTTGTAAGGGTGAAGAGTTACTGTGTGTAAATGAATTTTCTGAAGGCTGTGAAAAAGCTAGTTATTTATTAAAGCGTGATATTTGCAACAACAGAATAATCGATTTTAAGAAACCTGTTGAAAACGCTTCAATGAAAGAAAGTGAGGAAAAGAAAGTTTTGCCAGTGCAAAAAACAAGCCAGGAGGCACTTATTGAAAGAAAAGCTCGTGTCTCAACTGCCTGCCCAAGGAAAATTTGTAGAACAGTATATGAAAATACGGAGGAAAAGGTGGTTGCTACTAAAACTGCTGAATCGCCACCTGATAATGCTTCCTCTTGTAAGAAGACATCTTCATCTTCAGTAGAAGACGTTCTAGATGTTTTGATGTTTGGTAAAAAATGTAGCGGTAGCAATGCACGGCTGCATGGAGGCAAGAGGCAACAAGGAATGGACTTGGTTGAAGGCTGGGTTGCAAATGACGTCGATCAATGCTCGAGAGTAGTTGAAGGTTGTAGTAAAAGAGACAGCTATTTGGTACATCAAGATTTAGCAGAAAAAGAAAAAGATAAAGATCCAGAGATTGGATTCTGCAAGAAGCAAACCTCAGCTGATGATTTAAAAAAGCAAAAAGTATCTCCTGCTTTTAATAATGACAATGACAACCAAATGACAATGGACGATCAACAAATGAAGACAGCCAAAGAAGAGAGTCTAGAGAGTAATCATAAAGAAACTGAGAAACGTACCAGTGCCAAGAATTTTCGAAGTTCTGGAGAGCCAATTTCAAGTGTTACGGAAAACGACGTTGTTAAAGAATGTCCTTATGACAAGACGGAGATAAAAGATTTCGAATATCCCGCTTCCAATATAAGTTTATGCTTTCAAAATGAAACATCCTCTGCGGTGGAAAAACAAGAAATATCGTTATGTAATAGTGATCATGGTGCTGTTGAGTTGCGCTCTTTAGTAAAATTCGATGACAGCACGAAACCATCATGCAGTGATCAGTTCTATGCTACTGACAGAACCGCTACCGATGCTTGTGACAAGGATAGTGAGGTAGACATCAACATTTCGATGACAGATTCACTTCTGTCAGACAAGGATGGAGGTGGCTTGGAAGCTTATGGAGCTGAAGAAAGTGCTCCAGAAGAGAAAGATGGGAGTTTTGAGAATGACAAAGATGGAATTATTCGATTGGTAAACAGCACTTTCAGTTTGGATGATTTCACACAGTTACGCGAAGAGCTCGCAATTGCCCCGGTCTCTTCTACTAACAAGTTTACATCTACATTAGGAAAAAGGGTATGTGTATCACAAAGGGCCCTTCGATCAACAATTAAGAATATAGAAACAAAAATCAAAGGTAAAAATAAACAAAACAGAGTACCTACTGTTGAAGCTACTAGCACAGCTTTTGAAGGTAATGCGGAAGCCACAAATCACCCCTTAGAGGATGCAGAAATGAAGCCAGAGACATTTATCAAAGAAAGCTATAAACGAGGTGAAGATTCAACATTTTGCAGATTCAGTACAGCATCTGGAAGGAAAGTCAATGTATCAGTCAAGGCACTTGAAAAAGCAAGGAAGATACCAGAGTCAGATGCAAAAGAGCAATGTACTTACAATGTGTTTTTTTATGTCGTCCTGCAATGTGTGCTTGCTTTTTCTTGACGTTCGACTGTGTCATCAGTCTTTGCCGTAAAGCAAAATTGCCCTTACTGTTCTTTTGATAGAACGACGGCGCTTGACCGTTTGGTTGCCTGAGAAAGTCTTTAGTTTTGTTTGACTTTTTTCATTGGTAAAGACGTCCAGCTTGGGTCTAATTAATGTTCTTTTACGGAGGAAAGCCAATCGATAGAAAACTGACTATATCGTTAAACAAATCAAAGCACCAAAGAAAAACAAATCCATCAAGTGATTTCAAGACCAATTATCATAGATACGAGTTCGCAGAATTGTGAAAGTTATATAAATGCGTGGACATATTTTATAGAGCAGTAACAGCCTGTTTTAACTTCAAGTTTGAGACGAAATGACATATTATTGAAACTTAAACGTTTTAATTCGATGCAAAACTGGTAACAATGAGAGGTTATCCACTGAAAACACAGCTAAATATGACCAAAAAAGCCAACCGAAACACACAACAAAATCCCAACAAATGTATACAAATGCAACCAGAAATGGCCAAAAGAAAAGCTATAAAATTTGGACGAAAATGAAAAAAGGAGAAAGGGTGAATCTAGAGCCTTCTTTCACATTTCAGTTTTTTGAATTATGGAATCGTTTTTTCGAATTGTGCATTTTAGTTTTGTGAAGACCTGGGCAACGAGCAGCAATAATGGCAACAAAGAAATATTGCTACGTGCATTTGGGTGAATTCAACAGTACTGGAAATCATAAAGGCTAGTCCATTCTATGAATTCAGAACCCAACAAAATTGTAAATTAAAAAAGCAACACGGTTTAAACTATTTACCGCGTGGCGATGAAAAACGTCTCGTCGTCGATTTTGCGTCGTTTACCAAACGGGACACAAGAAAATAATGGCCTCTTCAAACCTCTCATTTTGAGAACTCCTGACGTTGCCATGGTGTTAGATTTATTGTCAAAAGACAGTTTAAAAGGAGTCGAGACGACTTAACAGCTCCATTTTCATTTTCCTCTGATCGAGAGCAGAAAGTGGGGTGGTGTTTGAATGAGAGCCATAGCTGGTTCTTGGGCACTAGCAGGTCGTGTAAGGCCAACCCTATAGAGAAAAAGTTAATGCATCTAAAGAACAACAACGCTTATATATTATATTGTAGACGTTTCGATTGGACAAAAAATTTAAACTACCAGAGAATAGTTGACAAATACGTTATATTCAAGGAAGAAACTAAGGATTAGCGTCTGAAAAAGTAGATTTAAGTTGTTTCATAAGTTAGGTTTCTGTCCACGACAATGAATTCACAAATAGACGGGGTTACATGGAGTGGATTACTCATTACTCAGTTCAAGCAAAATAAGTGGGGCAGAAAATGAGGAATTTTCATCTAAAAGTCCATAACGTGCATTTTTGTATTTAGAGTTCAACAGTTTTCTTTAAAATCATAATCGGAAAATGATAAATAAGAGGGCCTAGATAAGCAGCTCTTGGTCTTCGAACGATCGCAAACCATAATTACGGCCCGAAACTCTCTTTATTAAGCAACAAAGAGCAAGAGAGTTTTGAAAACAGCCGGTAGGATGTCAATCTGCTATCGTACAAATATTTATTAGGCAACGCATTAGGTATAACTGAGGCAACGGGAATGAATTTACACGGGGTAAAAAGCTTACTTTGAGGTATCGTGGGAAACAAGTTTCACATCGCGATGGCCTTCGGAAGCAGTGGAATTGTGAACTTCGCTTCTCTATCACTGTGAAATTCTAAGAAGACACGAACAAAATGATTACTTCGGTTGACAACAAATACTTTTATGAGCTAGGAAAAGAACAAATGACGGGTAATGCCATGAAAGCAAAGACAGATCGCTGTGAATGCTTCGTTTAATATTGGTAGTTCCAGTGAAGATCATTGATGCGTTTTACAGTGCTTTTTCAAATCCCATACTAATTACATTTTCCATAAGAACCAGTAAATTAATTCAGCGCTTACTTTTTTATAATTTTTTCGAAAAATAGCACCTACACATGGCTAAAAAATTTCGTTTTACGATAAAACGTTGTTTAAAAATTTGCATTAAGAGTAGCTCAGCCACAGCTTGTTCTTAATTTGCTTTTAACTTTTTGACCAATTTTGAGGTCATGTTCTTACAAAATTGTTCTCATAAAAAAAGGGTATATGACGAACTATAAGCTCTTTACCAGATGGACTGCTTGTTTTCGCTTTGAATATAAAGCTCCCCCTGTTACTCCAAGACTTCTTCGTCTCTTTGACAACCATGGGTATCCTGCTGAAAAAACAGTTTTTACTTACTTTTAATAAGTATATATTTGGTCTAGTCTCATACTCAGACTTTGATGCATATCTTAATACAACTCCGAGTTTCACGCTTAATGCGGTCATCAGGCAGCAATTGATGCTCATTAGTCTCGTTTAATCTTTGATCAAAAATTAAAGGTTTATTGCGAAAAATTCTAAAAATGTCCACTTGGTAGTTACTTAGGATAATTTTCTATTTTCCACTAGCATCACAAGTATTTGATGAGGATTTTGTCGTAAGCAGAACTATTGAAAACGAACGATTTATAAAATATTCAAGCAAGGAAACCACTGCAGAAAGGAAATCAATAAAAAACAGGAAAAGCAACTAGAAGACGTTATTCGTTGAAAGGGATTCCTACCTGTCCTTTTGAATCCACTGTCCTTCTCTCCTGAAATGCTAAGAAATTTCTTTTGTTTGGAACTCAGATTCCACATGATCAGTTATACCGGCAGTTTCTTTACCCAAAAGAAGTGGATCCTCTCCATTGCCATCTCAAATATCTTCATCAAACCTTTCACTCAGTTCTATCGTGAAATCATCAGGACCATTCGAATCTTTCTGAGGTTGACAATTCAACCCTATCTGTCTCGGCGAGCCTGATCTTCTCTTTCTCAGAATTCATGCCAGTAACTTCAGCTTTACTTGTATTGTCCATTCTATTCTGGCCTAAGATCAGTGGCGTATTCTCTTCGTTGACACATAAATTTTCTTCCTTACAATGCCTTATTTAACACGGTCTATTTTATTATTCCCTTCTTTCGTTGGTTTCCAATACCTTCAAAGGTCTTGTCTGACAACTCATCTTTTTTCTCGAGAACATACTGAAACCCTCACAACCCCATTCTTTCCCTGATAATTTCCCCCTTTGAAATTAGACTCTAATTTCTTCTGTGCTGCATCGACAGCCTTATCTGATACATTCGCCTTCATTTCAGTCGCCGTACTAAATCCATTAAATGAAGATACTTTGTCTGGAAAATCTTGCTCTTTGGCATCTGACTCTAGCTTCTTCCTTGCTGCTTCAAGGCCTTATCTGATACATTCACTTTTCTTCCAGAGCTGTACTAAATCCGTCAAAAAGATACTTTATCTCGGACATCTTGCTCTTTGCGCTCTGACTCTAGCTTCTTCCTTGCTGCTTCAAGAGCCTTATCTGATACATTCACTTTTCTTCCAGACGCCGTACTAAATCCATTGAACGAAGATACTTTGTCTGGACATCTTGCTCTTTGGCATCTGACTCTAGCTTCTTCCTTGCTGCTTCAAGAGCCTTATCTGATACATTCACTTTTCTTCCAGACGCCGTACTAAATCCATTGAACCGAAGATACTTTGTCTGGGACATCTCCTCTTGGCATCTGACTCTAGCTTTCTTCCTTGCTGCTTCAAGAGCTTATCTGATACATTCACTTTTCTTTCCAGACGCCGTACTAAATCCATTGAACGAAGATACTTTGTCTGGACATCTTGCTCTTTGGCATCTGACTCTAGCTTCTTCCTTGCTGCTTCAAGAGCCTTATCTGATACATTCACTTTTCTTCAGACGCCGTACTTAATCCATTGAACGAAGATACTTTGTCTGGGACATCTTGCTCTTTGGCATCTGACTCTAGCTTCTTCCTTGCTGCTTCAAGAGCCTTATCTGATACATTAACTTTCTTCCAGACGCCGTACTAAATCCATTGAACGAAGATACTTTGTCTGGGACATTTGCTCTCTGGCATCTGACTCTAGCTTCTTCCTTGCTGCTTCAAGAGCCTTATCTGATACATTAACTTTTCTTCCAGACGCCGTACTAAATCCATTGAACGAAGATACCTTTGTCTGGGACATCTTGCTCTTTTGCCTCTGACTCTAGCTTCTTCCTTGCTGCTTCAAGAGCCTTATCTGATACATTCACTTTCTTTCCAGAAGCTGTACTAAATCCATTAGATGAAGAGGCATCCCTATTTAGATATTCATCTTCGTAACTGTGTAAAATCATCTATATCAAAACTACTATTAACAAGCTGAGAAATTCCGTCTTCAGTGGCCTTCGTGTCATACTTTATTCTAACTCTATCAAAGGAGGAAACTCATCGATGTTGTCGAGTAAAAGTCTTTTGCACCTTGCTTCTTCTTTGCAGCTTCCAAGGCTACGTCTAATACACTGACTTTACTCCCTAAAGCCGATCCAACAAACGAAGTAACTTTTTCTAGGACTTCTTTCTCTCTAGAATCTGACTCTAGCTTCTTCCTTGCTGCTTCAAGAGCCTTATCTGATGAATTCACCTTTCTTCCAGACGCCGTACTAAATCCATTAAACGAAGATACTTTGTCTGGGACATCTTGCTCTTTGGCATCTGACTCTAGCTTCTTCCTTGCTCTTCAAGGGCCTTATCTGATACATTCACTTTTCTTCCAGACGCCGTACTAAATCCTTTAAAAGAAGATACTTTGTCTGGGACATCTTGCTCTTCGGCATCTGACTCTAGCTTCTCCTTGCTGCTTCAAGAGCCTTATCTGATACATTTAACTTTTCTCCAGACGCTTTACTAAATCCATTGAAAGAAGAGGCATGCTTATTTATATCTTCATCGCGTAACTGCGTGAATTCATCTACATAAAACTACTGTTTACTAGCTGAAGCACCCCCTCCTCAGTGCCCCTCGCATCAGCCTGAATGCTTTCTTCATTGAAAGAAGGAAGAGCAGTCTTGTCAAAGATACTTTGTCTGGGGCATCTTTCTCTTGGCCTCTGTCTCAAGCTCTTCCTGCGGCTTCAAGGGCCTTGTCAGATACATTGACCTTTTTCCAGACGCCGTACTAAATCCTTAAAAGAAGATACTTTGTCTGGGACATTTTGCTCTTTGGCTCTGACTCTAGCTTCTTCCTTGCTGCTTCAATGGCCTTGTTAGATAACATTTACCTTTCTTCCAGACGCCGTACTAAATCCATTGAACGAAGATACTTTGTCTGGGACATCTTGCTCTTTGGCCTCTGACTCTAGCTTCTTCCTTGCTGCTTCAATGGCCTTGTTAGATACATTTACCTTTCTTCCAGACGCCGTACTAAATCCTTTGAAAGAAGATACTTTGTCTGGGACATCTTGCTCTTTGGCATCTGACTCTGGCTTCTTCTTTGCTGCTTCAAGGGCCTTACCTGATACGTTCACCTTGCTTGCAGACGCTGTAATAAATCCATTGAAAGAAGAAGCATGCTTATTTATATCTTCATCGCGTAACTGCGTGAATTCATCTACATCAAAACTACTGTTTACTAGCTGAAGCACCCCCTCCTCAGTGCCCCTCGCATCAGCCTGAATGCTCTCTTCATTAAAAGAAGGAAGAGCAGTCTTGTCAAAAGATACCGTGACTGGGGCATCTTTCCTCTTGGCCTCTGACTCTAGCTTCTTCCTTGCTGCTTCAAGGGCCTTGTCAGATACATTGACCTTTCTTCCAGACGCCGTACTAAATCCTTTAAAGAGGTACTTTGTCTGGGACATCTTGCTCTTTGGCATCTGACTCTAGCTTTTTCCTTGCTGCTTCAAGGGCCTTGTCAGATACATTGACCTTTCTTCCAGACGCCGTACAATCCTTTTAAAAGGGATACTTTGTCTGGGACATCTTGCTCTTTGGCATCTGACTCTAGCTTCTCCTTGCTGCTTCAAGAGCCTTATCTGATACATTCCCTTTTCTTCCAGACGCCGTACTAATCCTTAAAAAGAAGATACTTTGTCTGGGACATC